CGGCAAAAACTAGGGAGACTGAAATGGCCAGTTCTGGGTTATTTGCCATTATCAGCCAGTTATACCCAATCAAAAGTGATGCACCACCCGGGATTCGAACTCGCAACCTTTTTGGATCAGAGTCTAACGCTCTGACATTTGAGCCACGGGCACTTTGTCTTACCGGTTTAAATCAGGAGATACTGACACTCGTTGATGAACTTTCACTGACCGCTAAGGGAACCCACTCGTCCCGATCTGTCTTGGGTCTAATTCCCGGGCTCTGACAGCAGCCACACTGCGACTAGTCTTATAAACAAAGAAACATTGTTGGTGAGAGCAAGGGAGGCTGCAATGTCCATTTATGGCTTATTAGCCGTCATCAGCCAGCCATAACCAATCCCAGGGATGGCCATCTCCGGGGTTTAAACTCGCGACCTTATTAGTTAGAAGCCCGATGCTCTACTTACTGCCTTGCCGATTTCGATCGGGAATACACATAAGGATAGAGGGGCACTCGCCGATCGGTTGCGGAACTCATGTTCGAAGACTTTGAAAAAATAATGAACAGCTTTGTGTAAATTTAAAACTTAAAGGAAGCATAAAAAGTACTAAGAGAGCCGGTAATCTCCTCCTACATATTTCACTTTCGAAGATTAGAGAATATTGGTCGTGTGCGTTAGATTAGACTATATTACTGCGTCCGATTGTGAAAGTATATGTTTTAGTGGATACTGAATGTAATCTTTGCACATTTCTCACAATCTTAGACTTCTATCAAAAAAGGCTACCAACAGTGGGTTCATAAGATGTGTAAGTTATGTGGTATGCTGCGGATGGTAAAAGTGATCAACTGTAAGCTTAGGGACGTGAGATATTCGAGTCTATCACAAGGAAGGTCATGTAGAACCGTTTGGTAAACCTCGACAGTTTGTGTTCCAACTTTCAACAACCGTATTTTTGTATATGAATATCTCAGATAGATGCGCTTAGGGTCACAGACTTAAGCTGTAAATGATATTACGTACAAAAACTCTTAATGGCACATTTCGTGGAGTCGTCGCAAAAATATGACAGCCTGCTGACGAGAACATTTGAAAACATGCAAAGCGCTATCGCGGGCACAAAATCCGTATATGCGTGAAAACATTTTCTTATTTAGGTATCGATTTGGGAAAAAAGTTACGGATATTATCTTTTATCTTAAGGTATTTAACTAGTTCGAAAGACAGCAGATAGCTTACTTCCTCGAATTAAAGTTATGATGATTGAAGTACAAACAGAGAGACGGGTAGCATATCTGAAACTGGGCATTTCAAATTGATAATTGGTGAAAAGTTTTCGGGGACTCATAGAAGATTAGCTCTAGGCAAATTTACGGTTAGGCGGAAATGTGATATGGAAAGCATGCTGAATTAAGTAAATGTGCACTAAAAGCAACTGGATTACAGTCAATACTTACTGTAAAATCAACCATGTACAGTTGGAGGATCTCAAGCGCAGCTCTTTCGATGGACATGCCGCCAATTCGATATGTCTTCGATGCACCGTCAGGAGATCGTACGATGTGGACTGCAAACTGCGATCTCATTCGCTGAAACTCCAACAAGGCGATGCCGGCATAGTTTAAAAAGAGCAGAGTATCCGAGAGACTACTTGAGAAAAGGACGATTGAACCGTAGGCCTTTTCTTTCGGTTGCAGGATGCGCACGCTGTAAAACAGCCAGAAGGCGAACAGCACAACAAAAATGAGACAAAAGAGAAGGCTTCGCCAGAGCCGAATACGAAGTAGAACAATGTATCCACCATTTATAAATGGACAGTGTGGAGTTGTTAAAATCCAAGTTCCCAAGGCCAACAAGGCTAGTTTGACTGCCATGCCAATAAGATGACCCTCGCAGGTAGGCTCACAGGAGTCTGTAGCCCAACCAACCGATGGAAGATAAGGGAAGACCACCATCAGGACTGGCGAAAATACTGAACAAATTCCAAGGCCGAAGTAAACGCAGAAACTGAATAAACGTGCGCATGCATGCGTGTGAAAGTCGTCAATTTCCGTCCGAATAAGCGCTGCAGCGGCACCACCAACACAAGAATTTGGGCCGCTATTGAGCCCCAGCGAAGCTAGAAGACCATATCGGGTACCGTATCGGGACATATTGTCTGCGCTGAGACCTGTTTCACTGGTGGCTCCGGTGACAGCTGTGGCGTTTTCAACCCAGGCATTCTCATCTTGCTCATGAGAACAATACTGTTCAATTTGTTGGTTTCCACCGCGATGACTAGAGGCTGGGGTGTGAACGCTGGACATGGGCCCAGTTTGCAGTTTTGGAACCAGTGCTTGTTCTAAAAGCAAACCAGGCTGGTTCTGTTGTGTCGGAGGAAAAGACTGGTTCGATGAAGGGGGAATCGGCTGCATTGGATAAGCT